CTGTCAAAGGTTCGGACAAATCCTGTGCCGAGACCAATTAGTGACAGACCTTTGTACAACTAGTTGATGGAACAGCTCCTGATGTCCAGCAATATGCCTAACGTTGCTTCCATGTCACCGCCAGACCGCCTCACTCGGCGAAAACAGCATCATATCGGTTCAGAAGGCAAGATTAGGACAGTATAGTGTTCACAGATGAGTCTGGGTTTCATCTGGGCAGTTCTGGAGGTCGTCCATGGTCTACTGGCCCGACGAGATTTTGTTCTACCGCTACGAATACATAGAGGTAACGTCACGTTGCAAAAGGATAATACCCTCCTAAATATCGCACATGTTTACACAAACTCTTTGAGACAGCGTACATTGCTGTTGTACTACATTTGCCCACAGCCACTGTGTGGTGAGTGAGTTGAAGGTTTAACGTCCCATCCGTATTATCTCATTGAGTGAGTGAGTTGAAGGTTTAACGTCCCATCCGTATTATCTCAGTGAGTGAGTGAGTTGAAGGTTTAACGTCCCATCCGTATTATCCCAGAGTGAAGACAGAAGTTAAACATATACAATGTCCACGAAGGACAGTAAATAAAAGCAGCAATCATTTCTGCATCAATAAGAAAGCACTGTCATAACTGATATAAATACTAGTCAACTGTTCTTTTGAAAAACGTATGTGTACAATTAAACCTTTTGAAAGAATTATTGAGGCTTTGAATGTTGAAACCTTGATTGAACACCTTTGAGCAGTAGTCCTAGGACGCTCTGACATTTAGAGAAACGAGCCTGCTTAATTGTATCTGAAAAAAAGAAATGTAAACACCAAAGATTAGAGCTTTTGGAATATTGCTCGACATAAACGGGAAAGTTTTTTTGAAAATTGAAATCATCCCTTTCGTTATACAGCTTTGTGGAGAACCTCTCTCTGTATCTTTAAGCAAAGCCTTAATCTAAGATTAAAAAATATCACATATTTGTGGAAATAAATCTACGAATGTATAAACCTACACTCGATTCAGCTTTTAGCAGAGATTTCCAATGGATATTGAAAGGGTTTTGTCGCTTCCATCCGTATCAGTTTGTGTTTTTTTCTATATGAATTTGAATGTACTCAAAAAGAGACACTGCCTGACCCGTTTCCACAATGCACATGTCTAGGTGAATTTCACCCTCGGTCGTATTAACATGGAAATAGGACATGAACATGTCACATTCATTCACATACCTCATAAACACTTCTGATCCTTAGTGGGTACAACAGAGGAAGACTTGTAAATAAACCACACACGTAGGCGAGTGAAACGCCGATATACAGATAAAGTATCATTGTCCCATAGGTATATACGTCGGCAGGCACTCCCAGTAGGCTTATGGCGGACTGCAGAGTCACAAACATTGAAATAGCCACTGAAAACACGCCCATGCGTCTGTTTCCCAGAAAATAGGCAGCTTTAGTGTTGTTATCGCGGACAGCGAAAAAGACACCAATTCCAAGCGAGATTGACAGCATGGTGCCAAGAACTGCATAGTCAGAAGTACCAAGTTTCTGGACGGTCGCCATTTTGGAAAGTAAAACTGCTCACAGCATCTCAACATGTGACCCAGGTGTCTATGCGCAAGAGGTGTGCACATTAGTGTCAAGTGATATGTAAATTCAAGGCCATTTATTAACCCCCTTGATGCCAGAGAGGCATATATGTTCTTCCGCTTCAACCCTCACTTTGAAGTTGAATACAATTAACAAGAGTCATCAGACAATGACAAATCCCCCCCGGCCCTCCACAAATTTGAAAGAACAAATCATCTGACAGTTATTTGAAGTACAACTTGATATTTTTAGACTAAGTCCAAATCGTTCCCATTAAAAATTAAAAATGCCAGAAAGCTGCAAATAGCAAAAGGCAACACTTCTAGATCTGTTTCTTGATGCCAACTACTTTCATGTTAGACAAAGCAAAAATGCTGAAATTGAACTTTTAAAGTTAGGTGCATTTGTTTATTGGGTGTACAACGTTATACATAAGCACACAAACCCATTTCATAAATACTTATGGCGTTCAGATATCAGGCAGTATGTCGTTCGCTCACACTTTCCCGTAAGGTTTCCAAAGAAATCTATCGTCGCACAATGCTTTTATCGGTGTAGGATAAAAAGCGGAGAAATTTACTGTTTCTAATGCATAACAACACTTAGCAGTGTTTATTTTTCAAACCGCGTACGTATTTACATTTTAGTTTTCATCATCGGATAGGAAATTTAATATTCTACATTTCTGTGTGATTTTATAGCGACGGTGTTTAAAAAAGAACAAGGGTTGCGTCGTTAATATGACACTGGATGGGTTGGAGTTATACTATACTATTACTATTACTTAATAACAATATTAAGCCTTGTTGGTATAAGTCCTGATAAAAGAAAAAGTGTAGTAAAAAATCTTCCTTTCGCATGATTACCTATGAAACGTTAAGTACAGTCCTTACATGTGTTACACGTAATGGTATGCGTAGACGTTCACACGGATCATTAGACTTGAGCGTTGTGCATATGCCCGAAGAATGACAGATGTTAAAACATATGTTAATTTTAAGGCTGAATGCCCCTAAATACCTCAGGGCTATGTTCTAAGTATCCAATGAAAAGGCTCGCTGTCAGCTGAAACATGGCCTACTGCCGTGAAATGAATGTCCCCACCTCGCCAGTGTGTTATAATTATACGAATGGCCTAATTCTATTGTTGATATGTGTCGCAGCAAAGACGTTTCGTATACCCTTCCTCGCTTTCAGATGTGTTTATATACTTATAGGTCATAAGTTATAGTTATAAATATCTATGACATGTTAGTAAGAACTTTAAGTCTATTGAAAGTCTGTAATGATTATGGGGCGGTGGGGTAGCCAAGTGGTTAAAGAGACCGCACATCAAGCCGAAGATCTGGGTTCGATTCCCAACATGGGTACAATGTGTGAAGCCCAATTCTGGTGTCTCTGGAACTGGTCCGTTTCTATCAATCGGCTGCTCACGCCATGCTCTATATGCATTGACAACATAAAGTTAGAAATATCCAATCGAACAACATTTCATCTTGAAACATGATCATTCTATTTACGCAGATATCTTTTCTTCCGAGTGTCTTACGACAGAACTCTGTGTTTCATAGGCCAGTAGATAGTGACAATTTCAGTTTGTGTGTCTATAGGGAAAATACCTTTGACCGAACAAGCTTGACATTTCTCCTTTCCTCAGAAAACAATGTTTCATGCTGTCGTTTCTCGAGCATAACACCCCTGTGGCTCTGGTGTTGCAGCCTAACAACACCGCCCTTGATGAGTCGACCGCGGGTGTTTAGCACCTTTAAATTCCGGTTTAGAAGCAATCGTAGATACACGCATCCTCTTTCCTCTGATAAGGACGTCCTTTCACAATTGGCTGATTTAAGGCCAAGGTTCGTAAGCATCACATCCTCTGATTACATTCCCCCAAAACTGAATCCTATTGCAGCCAATTTTTTACAAGTTGATGTTTCTGCACACAAATCACAAGAAAATTCAACCCGTGAAGATCCGGGTCAGAATTGGTCTTCAGCAAACCATGTTGGTCATACGAAGCGACTAACGGTATGGATTGGTTAGGCTCACTGACTTGGTTGAGACATGTCATCGTATCCCAATTGCGTAGATCGATGCTTCTGTTGTTGATCACTGGGTTGTCTGGTTCGTGCTCGATTGGCCTAGGCCAAGTTTGTACTTCCAGAAATATACCCTTTTACCTCATCTTTTTACAATGTCTTGTCTATTTGTTCGTGCTTGAGCATAGTGAAGAAAATGAGCATCTTCATCAGTGATAATAAAGACCTAATATTAGCAGAGCACTAGCTATGATCATTTCGAAATAGGGAGCCAAAATGAATGTATCTGTGAACAAGTGAATGTTCATTTGGGATTGAAAGATAGTCTGTTCAAAGACAGAAGGATCGGATCATGGGTAGAATACTCCTGTCATGAACCTGCTCTGGCAAAACAACTGTCCCAGCTTGCAATGCAGGAACTAGGCTTTGGTGTTCTTGATGAGAGATTATGTGATGGCTGATATCTTGAATGAGTCTCTGGATTGAGAACGTTCTTGGCTGGCTTTAGATCTTGTATTCTACTCTTGTATCGACTTTAGACAACCTTTATAACGAACTTACATGATTCCATAATCTTCAGCCTGGAGCTATGTTCTCACATCCCAATAGTTCATTTTTATCTCAGTTCACCAATGGACCACTTCTTGGACAAATTACTTTGTTTCGATTTTGCCATTCCGACCAAAAATTCGATTCATGTGCCTAGAAACTGATTCACAAGGAGAGGAGTGCAATGCCCATAAGGTTTTTATTTTTAAGATTAACGCCTGAGAATTTAATAACTTTGCTTTACTGGCATATGGCTGTGTTAGCAAGATGTGTTTTACACTATTTCAAAACTCTTTCAGAAAAGCTTATCCATTCGATTACGTTAATGAGACTACATTGTCCGTGTATGTAAATAGTCACTATGAGAATTAAGCAAACCAACAATGTAACCCTACAAATACTGCAACACAATATAATATGTAGGAGCGTCAAAAACACATATGTAGGAGCGATCAAAACAAGACATCTCTGCTGAAAGCAGAGTCGACTGTACAATTGTGACTGTATCATGAGTATGTGTTTGTTTCAGCAGTATTACAGCAGTACGATGTCCACCTGAGGCCTGTCTGATGGGTACAATGAAAGAATATTTGTACAGCAGACATTTAAAAGTTTATTACCAGATAAACTAGATCTATTCTCTGAATTTACGTTTTCAATTTACGCCACTATCTGCAACACTGAAGTTTCATCAAAATGAAATATTCGAGTCTGAACTTAAGCAGAGACTACTTAATTCATTGTAATCGTATCATGCGACAAGGATAGGCTACTTATTCTGACAAAAACGACAGAATAAGAAAGTGCAAGGGACAGAGTCATGTACCTACCTCATAGACGCTTGTGATCTTGAGTGGGTATAGCAGAGGAAGGCAGGTGTACACACCACATATGTAGGAAAGTACGCTACCGACGTAGATGTAAGCGTACATTGTTCCATACGTGTAAACGTCGGCTGGCACTCCAAGCAGGGTTATAGCCGACTGCAGGGTCACAAACATTGAAACTGCCGTAGAAAATACCCCCATGTGTCGGTTTCCAAGCAAATACCCATCTTTCGTGTTGTTACCACGGATTGAGAAAAAGACACCGATTCCCAGAGATACTGATAGCATGGTGCCGACAACAACATAGTCAGAGGCAGCAAGGACTTGGACATTCATCATTTGAACAAATACCTCCGTCAATTCGGCTCAGACCATAGAGATTGAAAGGTAACTGTCGGTAACAGATGTTATATATATACATTGTATATACGAATTTAACCTTGTGATGAGAATGCTGGGTTAAACTAGACTGTGCTTGTTATGACATTTGATTGTTTTGATGCGTGAAATGTCACTGCGTCTACGCGATCATTATACCCCCGCTTACGAAGTAACAGGGATATATAGCGTTCATTCTGCCATTCCGTCCGTCCGTCCTTACGTTCCGAAACTTTGTCCGGAGCATATCTCTTAAGGTTTACATGCTTGGTTCACCATACTTCACACACACACATTAATGATTACCCATAGACGTGTTATTTTGAAGTTTATCAGAAATTATGTTTTATCTGTTTCCATGGAAACATGACTTGGTGCAAAATGTGTTGGATGGTTATCTCGTTCGGAGCATATATCTGAAGCTATACATGCTAGGTTCACCAAGCTTAATACACAAGTTTAACATGACCCACAGATGTGCCTACTGTGCCTCGTGCTAATTTTTTTCTTCTTTTTTTTTTTTTTTGCAAAATGTGATTATTCAAAGTGTGATGTTAACTTTTCACTTTTCATGGTTTTTCTTCATGTCATATGTACCAATATGTGGTTTATTCTCTGTACCTAGTTTAGTTATTTCCTTCATGTCGTCAACATGTGATTTATTTTCTGTATCTAAATTGAGAGTCAGTGACATTCTTCACCAACGTCCACTTCATTATGAGCAACATGATACAGCCAAGTTCAAAGGTATGTCAGATTTCCACGGAAAACATAAAAAAAATAATGTTTCCATAAATTATTAATGCAATCAATAAATGGCAAATCTATTATCTAACGTCTATCTAAAGTTTGGTGGATTAATGGAGAAAGTCTTGTGAGCTGCTGATCCTTGTCACAGTATATTTCCATGTCCCAAAGTAGGAAGCGGGGCTATGTGAGCTGTGCTCACTTCTACACTTCTTGGCTCTTGAGTAGAGCAATTTTGTACTCAATATAATAGTCATTCGATTGTTGGACACATTACTTCGTTCACTGAACTCTTTAACCTGGTGTGAACGAGTGCTATCAGCTGTAAAAATTGTAATCAGCCTAAAATGTTTTATATTCGTATGTCATAACATATTGGCTGACTAGTTCTGCTTTTGATTGGTGACAGTATCATTAAGGTAATTAGAATACATATGTATTTTAGTACCTCAACCTTTGACAATTGGCACCCTTGAAGAGCCGTCCCAGCGGGCACACAACGTTGAGTCAACGTTTAATCAACGTTGACTTTTGGTTGTTTGGTTGATCAACCTTTCATAAACGTTGATTCAACGTTTATCATGAGACCGAAGAAAGTTAGTCGAGATTCGTTTAGTTGTCAACGTGGTTTCAAGGTAAGGAACCAACAAAATGTCAACTAATTGTTTCCTTGGCAAATTTGACACATAATTCATATTGGTAATAGGTATCCAACTTAGCAACTATCATTTCGGAGCATTAATTTCATAAAAGATCAAGATCGAGCTAGTGACAGATATAATCTTATATATTGTTTGATTGTGCATCGATCAACGGACGGAAATATTACGTAAATCGCAATTGAAAATGAAAACATCAATGATTTTAGGTATAAAGTCATCGGTTATCCGAATTGCATTACATTTAATATTTCCCCACAAAACTGTCAAAATTGTATAATTCCCGACAATTTGCTTTCAAACACATGCCAGATGTTGACCTTTCGATCGCCTCGTTTGGTCATATCCGGACATGCGCACAATTATCGCGGGCGCAAAGGCAGTTGATCGTTGTCAGTTCACTTTGGCGAAGTTCAATGCAATATCGTTCTATTTTCAACATCTTCACGGCATGCTGATGTTTATTTGGTAAGTATGTCCTTCATGTATAATGAAAACGTAGGAATGTTGTTTAAATCTATCAGGTCAATGTAGCAAGAGATTTCGAATTAGGGTTCATGTTTACTAGTATCTCACAAGGTTACCGGTATTGTCACGTACATGTTTCTCAATTTCGTGGAAGCCCGTGTTTTCCATGAACTTGTTTTGTTATTTTTCAATATATTTGCATGCATATATTTGGCATTTTATTATATAATGGAATAAGATTTCCTTTCGTTCCCATCACCTAATTTGAATTTTGCAAATATACATTTTCAAAATCAATGAAGTAGATCAATATAAGGGACCGTTCATAATTTATGCCTGGGGGTGGTGGTGGTCATGATTTTTGTTGTTTTTTTTTGTTTTTGTTTTTTTTGGTGGGGGGGTTGTTTGTTGTTGTTGTCACCCATTTTGTTCAGGGGAGCTAAGGGGGTCAGCAATTTTGTACACACGTACTATGTTTAATATGATGCTTAGAAATTGTGGGAAGGGGAGAGGGGGGTCATTGATTTTGAACATGACATGCAGGGTGGGGCGTCACTTATTTCGTACATACATTTTACGGGGTGGGGGGGATAATTCACATTGTACATGCTTCTCCATAAAATTCATCATCACCCCCAAGCCATACATTATGAAAGGTCCCTAAGGGCAGCTATACAAAATCGAATAGAATTTATCAACATTTTATATTGCATTATTATGAACATTTGTTCGTTTCAATAGATCTATCAGTAAATTGTGCATTGAGCACGCTCTGAACCCTGTCAACATATGTATATTATTTGGGGGGAGGAGGGGGGGTGGAAAATGTCGAAACGAAATCTTTCTCAGATCATGCAACGAAAATTCTCATCAAAATGTCTTGTGCAAGTCTTTGTTAAGGATGAAATTGTATATAATGTATTTGAACTTTTATTTATTTACAACATGTGTAACTTCACTAATGATTCTTTGATGGGACAATTAACAAAACTGCACCCCATAGACTTTCATTCTTACACTTGTTTGGAAGGGATGTGATGATTCATGTCTCTTAATGGTTAAAATGTTACATACAAAAGAAGTAATTTAGTAAGGAACATTTAATTATGAAATACGATTTAATTTTAATGGAATTTGCAGAAATCTCATCTTCGAAGATTGGGTGGCCTCAATTTTGTGGATCCCATAAACGGAGCAATGCTAAGGTAACAAGTTTTTAACACTTCACTTGTTTCCAGTATATCCACCACAAAGTTTAAGAGAAAGAAGATAATGCTGTTTGATTACCACCTGTTTTGAATATTTGTGATAATGTTTGGTCTTTTTTGGTGATAATGGTTGGTCTTTATCTTCATTTATATATTAAGGTTGATCATGTAAGAGAATAATTTGACGATGATTTCTCCCGGAGATGTTTAGTTTAATGAGCACTCCCTTGCTTGGCGCCATATTGTTTTTCGCTGTAAAGAGCTGGGTGCGAGATAGCACGCGAGAGGACAGAAGTCTTCAGGTATTTGGTCAGCTGTAGAATTTGAATATGATGTTTTTTATTATTGCAAAAGTGTAGGTTTTTCATTATTTTGCATTTAAATGTGTGTTAAGTGAAACATGCTGAGATTTGGAAGAGTGTATTATTTAGAGTACAGGTATTGTTAGATATCAGCATTTTATGTACATGTACCCTTGTCAAGATCATCTATCGAGTATATTAGAGAGAAGGTGTATATTTGTAGTGTTTTAAATCGGAGTTATTTTCAGTGTATGACCTACATTTCAATATGTTTTGGCCACCTGTCACCCCTTTGGTCAAATAGAGTAGGACTTCCATTTCAGAGGTACACTGTTTCCAAGAATTTGCGTGTGACAGCGATGTTTGTTTACGAGTACATTTCAGTCTTTTTGAGTGTAGATTGGAGTTGTAAGAGATGTTATTGATTGTATTTTTATATCCAGGGTATAATAGATTATTTCTGGCAGTGTAGAGCTCAATATTTTATTGTTCATGATTCAGAGAGGCATAGTTATGACGTCACAGATATTATACGAACACTTCATTATATGAGAGATTTTCTAAGCGTTTCTAAGACATTAAGCGTAAACATTTCTGAATTATGAAGAAGTTATTTATCTGAGTTTTATGAGTGTACAAATGACAAAGAGAGAGAGTAGATAATAGAGAATCTGTTGTATACTTATGAGAGCTCATTATTGTTTTCAGAACTCCATAATCCAAACTTCCTTGTGTTTGGGTGTTGGAAGAACTCCCACAATAGACTAGTTTTTTGACCTGTGAACCACCACCCATTTTGTTTTCTTATCATTTAATGTAAAATGGCATTTGTTACAATTTATTACTCCTGTTAGCAAAATTGCTACATCAGTACAACTCCTATTAAATTTGAAATAATCGTTTCCGAGAATCTCTAAAGAAAACTAAATCTGACAGAATAACAACAATCTTCCATTGTTTTGCAGGACAATGTCAAACAATTTGATGTCAAGAATGAATGTTGATGGGTAAAACGGCAAGTTTTCTTTTAAGAATACAGGGTTGTATTCAATCATCTCTGGTTAGTTAATTACCAAATGCAGCATTTTCATCATGACCATAGCAATTAATATCTGACAGTAAAGCATCGTCTATTTCATCCTAATTCATAGTCTAATTAAATAATCAACTTGCAATTTAGGATTTTCTTTGAAAATGTTTAAGAAAACTTCAATTCCTTTAGTTGAAAATATAAATTGTTTACACTTTTTGTCATATTTTGTATGGATGCTGTTCATATACATGTTATATATGTTCACATGCCAAGTTACAGCAGTGAACTGAACCTTTCAAGTGATTGATTAAACAAATACTTGAATCATTTAAGACAATATATCTTCCATATAAAATTAATCATGTATTTAAATATAAAATTTCAGAATGTGTCCTATCTCATGGGAATGAGATGGGAATGCATCCGAAGCAAATTTCAAGAAAGAGTTAGGAACGTTTCTGAAGTATCCACCTGACCGCCAGGCAG